TCTCTCTCTCTCTCTCTCTCTCTCTCTCTCTCTCTCTCTCTCTCTCTCTCTCTCTCTCTCTCTCTCTCTCTCTCTCTCTCTCTCTCTCTCTCTCTCTCTCTCTCTCTCTCTCTCTCTCTCTCTCTCTCTCTCTCTCTCTCTCTCTCTCTCTCTCTCTCTCTCTCTCTCTCTCTCTCTCTCTCTCTCTCTCTCTCTCTCTCTCTCTCTCTCTCTCTCTCTCTCTCTCTCTCTCTCTCTCTCTCTCTCTCTCTCTCTCTCTCTCTCTCTCTCTCTCTCTCTCTCTCTCTCTCTCTCTCTCTCTCTCTCTCTCTCTCTCTCTCTCTCTCTCTCTCTCTCTCTCTCTCTCTCTCTCTCTCTCTCTCTCTCTCTCTCTCTCTCTCTCTCTCTCTCTCTCTCTCTCTCTCTCTCTCTCTCTCTCTCTCTCTCTCTCTCTCTCTCTCTCTCTCTCTCTCTCTCTCTCTCTCTCTCTCTCTCTCTCTCTCTCTCTCTCTCTCTCTCTCTCTCTCTCTCTCTCTCTCTCTCTCTCTCTCTCTCTCTCTCTCTCTCTCTCTCTCTCTCTCTCTCTCTCTCTCTCTCTCTCTCTCTCTCTCTCTCTCTCTCTCTCTCTCTCTCTCTCTCTCTCTCTCTCTCTCTCTCTCTCTCTCTCTCTCTCTCTCTCTCTCTCTCTCTCTCTCTCTCTCTCTCTCTCTCTCTCTCTCTCTCTCTCTCTCTCTCTCTCTCTCTCTCTCTCTCTCTCTCTCTCACACACACACACTCAATTTCAATTTCAATTTAAGAGTGCTTTATTGGCATGACAAAAATTATACATTTGTATTGCCAAAGCAATTGCAGCTGGACTGCTTACAAATAGTACACATGTATTAACAGAAAGAAAAAGAATAATAGTAATAATAATAGTAATAATATATAAAAAGTATTAAGCATGTAGTGCAAAATGAATTACTAATGTATGTAAGTATATAAACTAGAAATAAAAAATAAAATAAGGGATTTTATTTGATTTCTCTCTCTCTCTCTCTCTGTCTCTGTCTCTCTGTGTGTAAAAGCTTTCTCTATTGCTTTTTATTTTGTCTTGAGGCTGTTCAATCAATCAGAAATAAACTATATAACTTTGACAGAAAGGTGAGCATTACTAAGAGAAAAGCAGTTGTGTAAGTAATACAAGGGCTGGTGGATTTATCAAGTCACAATATATATTCATAGTGATTTTGTCTGCAATATTAACTTCAATGTCGGCAACATTGTGTATATTGCAGTGACATTAATTGAAAGTTTCATAATTTAATTTTGTGCTTTCCTAAAGACTATGTCATAAGTCTAGTTTTGTGATCTCAGCCTGTATTACATCTTGTGAGCCTTTTTAAATAGTAATGCATTGAAATGATTTTATTTTATTGATTTATTTTTTACTGAAACACCAGAAGTGAAATTATAATTTTTATTTAGCTGAAAACTGAAACCGAAATTAAAGCTTGGGTCCATTGAACTTGGTTTGCTGTTTAGGGTTTTGTGTTAACAGGTGACTAATTAAACCAACCATAGTGAAGTTCTTCGCAATGAGCCGCCTCTCAATATTTCAGCTGAAAAATTTGACATATTGAGAAATAGAAGTTGACATGGTTAAATTCCCCCTCTGTAAAAATCGTGTTCCTCTCCCTCGTGGGGCCCTTGGAATCATCCTAACCTTCCCCCCCCCATATCATGCCACTGCCAGTATGTATATGCGGAAAAGCTGATTAAGACTCAAAAGCTGTGTTTACGTTTAATTCAGCATCTTCGCTGTTACTCGTTACCCCGTGTAGCCACATGTAAGCAGCTCTCTCTACCAAAGGAGATTATAATGCTATTTTACCTGACGCTGAAATACAAAACTAACATTACATCTGAGGAAGACATATATTGTTTTCAGTTGTTTAGTTTCCTTAACTTTATATCATGACTTGTGTGACTCATATGTCACACTTCAGGATTCCCCAAGGATGTTAACGCACCTCAATGAACTAGTAGAGTGATATAAAAAAGCCTCAGATCTCAGTATACACCTTATTGATGATGCAAACTATACAGGCAAGCAGATGAGGTCAGAAGAAATGATTTTTCTTCCATAAATTTCTTTCCAAAAGAAAAAAGACTTTACTGACCCCAAACTTTGACACCAAAACATACTTGTTGAGGGTCTGAAATTTAACATAGTTGTTTATTTAAGCTGTGAATATTTCAAAACATTTCACACACAGGTTCATAATTAAAAATTAAATAATTAATATTTAACTTCCAGAGTTCACGACAGAGAGGAAGAAGATTGGAGGATTGGCCTGTCTATATCTCAAAGTGAGGAAGAGAGCAGGAAGCAGTGTGAACAGGAAGAGGAACAACTTAAAGCAAGAAATGTAGAGATCCAGGCCGGCAATCAAGAGCGTCCGGAAGAGGAACATCAGCGCAAAGAGCAGCTACTGGCTAAGATGCATGAGATCGACATGCAGACTCAAGGTCAGGACTCAGACTTCTTTTCTGACGACACAGGAAGTTTCCGCTCTCCTCCACGGTTGTCCGAGCAACGGAACCACAACGGTATTTTCAAATTTACAGAGCCAGAAGAGAACACAAACACATTTGCGAGTGGGAGAAGAGCTGGTGGTCTTCGAGCACATGGACCAAGCAAGGATCTTGACCTTGCTTTTGGTAGCTACGCCCCTTCTTTTGGTAAATCTGCCCCCCGTGCTGGTTTAGGTGCACGCAATGCAAATCAGCCACCCCGAGAACTGGATGAAGAGCTGGATTTGGGTGGCCTGGTTAAGGAAAGGAAGTCAAAGCTCATGCAGCAGCTTTTTGGGGCCTCTGCCACACCACCTCCTTCAGATCTATCCAGTAGGATGGAGATCCTAAGCCCCCCTCTAACAAGCCAGTTCCCATCAGTACCAGGAGGTGGACGCAGGAGGGACACAGACACACCAAATGGACTAAATATCAGTTCTCTCCCCAACAATAGGAGCACTCTGCATGTCTCTGAGAGCCGACCCGTGGTCAGGGCCATTACGTCATTTGATGATGACATAGAAGAAGTCACACTCTGAATAGGGTGCTTTTATAGCCAATACGAAAGGATACATTTTTTTAAAACACCTGATATTTAGTTTTGAGCTCCGTTATGAAGTAAACACTGATTAAACAATGCTTAGTTTGTTAATATGCCTCTTTTTTTAACCTTTCTGGCAAAATCATGGAGGAAGACTTTTTCAGTGATACCGTTTTCATAGTTGGGTTTGCAAAGGGTCCAAAATTAACACTCACTGCACAGTGCACACTAAGGGCCAAAAAAGCACTGAAGGGAGTGGAGAAAGTTCTGTGGATGATCTACTGACAGTGCGCAAATTAAAGAACACAGACGTATCCAGATCCATAATGACTAATGTAATCTACCAAGAGCTGCGCCGATTAGCAACTATCACAGCCATGTCAAACACAAAATGGCTTTTTTTTGGGGCAGCAAATAATGATAAACCTTAATAAATCACATTGCATGACACATCTAAATACTCCCCTCTCTGATTAAACAATGCTTAGTTTGCTAATATGCCTCTTTTTTTTAACCTTTGGCAAAATCATGGAGGAAGACTTTTTCAGTGATACCGTTTTCATAGTTGGGTTTGCATAGGGTCCAAAATTAACACTCACTGCACAGTGCACACTAAGGGCCAAAAAGCACTGAAGGGAGTGGAGAAAGTTCTGTGGTTGATCTACTGACAGTGCGCAAATTAAAGAACACAGACGTATCCAGATCCATAATGACTAATGTAATCTACCAAGAGCTGCGCCGTTTAGCAACTATCACAGCCATGTCAAACACAAAATGGCTTTTTTTGGGGGCGTCAAATAATGGCAAATAATGGTAAACCTTAATAAATCACATTGCATGATACATCTAAATACTCCCCTCCCTATAAATTTTGCATCTGAAAAGGATCCTACAAATGCATATTCTTTAATCCTGACAGTAGTTTTTTTAACCAAAAGGCAAGCTGTTAGCAAATCTGGCCCTAAATGTCAGAAAAACTCACCTGTTGACCAGTAACTTTTAAGGAACCACAGTGTAATAGATGGTTTAAGTCAAACTGTAAGAATGATTATCTAACCCCTGCTGATGTAATCGATAAGAGTGATTCAAATCAAGAGCATACGACCTGTCAATTAGGGGAAACATCCATTGTGACTTGCACATTCTCTAAACTTGTACCTCAGTGGAAAATTATGAAGTTTATCAAGGACTCTGAAAGGGTTTAGGTACCTTTTTTTTTTTCATGTTTTTTCCACAGCTTGTGGAACATATCTAATTTTATGCTCTGCACTTTCAGTACTGATATGAGTGTGATTTTGATATGAGTGAGAGCTTTGCCCTCTCAGAGAGCCATGCTTGGCCGATTCAGGTCTGGGCTGCGTCTTCTCTGAGCCAGTCCTCCCTCACAGCACTTTTAGTCTCTCCCCCCGCTCTCATTTTAGATAAGTGTTAATGGCAATTATGTGACAAAGGAGAGAGTCTGGTTCATAGGTTTGTAGTTTATAAATTAAACAACGAGCCAAATACTCAAATTATATCTATACAGGACATCCCAAAAATATGGACAGTGAATTTCTTTGCATTAGATAACAAAATAACTAGCCAAGTGACATTTTCTCAAATCTAACAAATTGATCCCAATTTGGGATTATTGTGTTGTATACTTTTAAACGTTTAAAGCTTCTTTTTCTAAAAGGTTTGCTTGAAAAGTGAACTTGTGCTGATGAATGTCTCTTGGTTTGATATTTTAATATTTAATACAGTGATTCTATGTGTGGTACAAGTGTACAAATATTTTGGGGGCCACTGTATATGTTTTTGTTTGTGTGCACAATATGAACCTTTTTACATTAACAATTTAGTGACCAGAAAACTGAAAAAATTTGACTTCCACTTTCATTCTCAGCTAATACAGTGTCTTTGTTTGCCTGCTTACACATAATGAGTTTTTTCTTTTTTTTATAAATGCGGGGTTATTTGTAAGAATTTGTCAAGTGGTTGTGTTACATTTTTTAGTGTAACTAGAAGATATGTTTTACTCTATATAAACTGTTGTAATTTGGTATTTATTAAAGCATTTCAGGGTTTTTTTTTCAATCTCAAATACTGAGAAATCTGTTGTGAAATACTAGAAACAATGTGGTTGATGTTGCTTATTGTGACTTTTTAATGAGGGATGTCACAATTTATACTTGGACTTAAAGTAGCACTATGTAACTTTTGCCGCTCTAGCGGTTAATAAACAGAACTGCACACATCCCGCGGAAGAACATTCCAACTGGAGCTACTTCTCTAAGTTTGTCTATGGCGATTCACGCAGGTATGTGTTACTCCGCAGCGGCGACGACCCGACCAGGCTACAATAGTCCAAATATAAGTACTTATTATAAGTGTACCGTAGTGATTCGGAATAAGACAAAAACGCGGTTTGGAAGATGAATTCATGATGTACTCGCTTATTATATCAATTTTGCAAATTTTGAACACAGAAAAAGTTACATAGTGCTGCTTTAAAGCAAAGGCAGATTTACATATGAAATACAAACACAAATCAAATACTTAAAGGGGTCATATGATGCGATTTAATTTTTCCTTTCTCTTTGAAGTGTTACAAGCTCTTGGTGCATAAAGAAGATCTGTAAAGTTGCGAAGACTAAAGTCTCAAATCCAAAGAGATATTCTTTATAAAAGTTAAGAGTTAACCACGCCTGCCTAAAACGGCTCGTTCTAACACGCCCCCACATATCTACATCACTATGTGGGAAGATTTGCATAACGCCGCCCAAATGTTCACGCAAAGAAAGAAGACGTAACTTTTATTCTCGCTGTAGTATTGTTGTTGCCGCCGCCATGTCATGAATGCACTGTGTGATTCGGTGTGAAAGTGAAACTACTTTTCCAAAAGAGGACGATATCTGCTTCGTCTTGCCTGGAGCTGATCCGTGCTGGTTGCTGAGGAAATACTACAACTTTGTGCTGTGGATCGCCGGATCGGCTTTCAC